TGCACAAGCACCGTATGTATGTTCATCCTGAAAGCCTAGTTGACAGAAAAAAGACAGAAACTTCCTCCTCAAGTAATTTCCAAATGAAGCTGTGATCCTTACTGTCAGACCCGCCTCCCTCTGCTCCACCTCTGAATCTTAAAGTAAAGAAGGAATGGTAGTTTTAATCCTGTAGAAGCTGTGCCAAGAGGATGCCATCACTACCGTGGTGGTTTGTTACTCTACCCTGTTTTTCTAAAGAAAAAGTTTGAACAGCTTTCTGGTAGTTTTCTTTTGCTCCTACTTCGTCTGCGGTAACTGGAGGTTCTGAGCTGAGGGGATTGTTCAGATTTGTGGGGCTTTCTCCATGAGATGCAGAATGATCAACCATGGGTGAAAAACTTTTGTATGCAGTTGGGTGCTATCAAGGTGAGGTTGAATGACTTCTCTTGCATATAATTTCAGGAGGCCATACCGGAATTGAAGAGAATTGTAGTGCTTTTTAAAGCCTGACAATCCTGTTTTCACTGAAACTAACTTTTCTAACTGCTTTGGGGTGAGAAAGTCCTTGCAGGTGGGCTGCTAATTTAGGCCTCTGAGGTAATCACTTGAAGAAAATTAATATAATCAATGCCTACTACATTCTTAGAACTTGGATCAAAATAGTTGCTCAGGGAGGTGGTAGAGTCACCATCCCTGAAGATGTTTCAGGGGCATGTGGACCTGGCACTGGGTGATGTGGTTTGGATTTAGAGGTGACAGTGGCAATGGTGGATGGATACTTGGACTTGATGATCTTATAGGTCTCTTCCAACTTTGATAATTCTGTGATTCTAAGCAATCCCTGTAGTAATAGTCCAGTGAAATTTAACTTGGAATATTTTACTTCAGCTGCAGCTAAAGTAAAAGCAGTTCCAAAATGAATACACTCAGTACTTTGGCTTTGGACATGAGGAGAGCAGGAGAGCAGACTTCTGGCTGCTCAAAGAATCAGTCAGTAAGGTAACCTGGGAAAACGCTTTTGCAGGTGCTGGGGTCTGTCAGTTCTGGTCACATTTTAAGCACCATCTTAGGGCATAGACAATTCCCAAATGTCAGAAGTCAAGCAGGTGAGGCAGAAGATGGCTTGGCTGAGCAGGAATCTCCTTTGGGAGGTAGAGGCAAAAAAAGAAAGTGTAGGCTCAGCAGAAGTAGTGTCAGGTGACGTGGGAGGATTACAGAGATGCTGCTCACCACTGCAGGGAGAAAATTCGTCATGCTGAAGCTCAGCTGCAGATGAAGCTGGTCACAATTGACAGGAACAGTAAAAACTTTTTCAAATATATTAATGACAAAAGGCAATGAGTATGGTCACCTCACAAACAGGGACATGGACAAGACAGAGATGTTCAATACTTTCTTTGCCTCTCCTTTCAGCACTAGCAAGGGACAAAGGGGATCCCACTGCCTGAAGTTGGAGGACCATGGCTATGCAAATGATCGCCTCCCATGATCCTGAAATTGTACAAAATGTCCAGCATTCAGCTGAATAAACACATCATGTGATGGATGATGGCTGATGAGCCACACAAAGGGTTACAGCGAGTGGGGTGGCATCAGGCTGGCAACCTGTCACTAGTGGGGTTCCACAGGACTCTACCTTAGGGCTTAGATGCTCTTCAATATCTTAATGATTTTGAACACTAAGTAGATTTGCTGAAGACATTAAACTGGGAGGAGCTGTTGACTTCTTTGAAGGCAAAAGAAGCCATGCAGGGCTACCTCAACAAATTGCAGGTCACCAAACTAATTAAGTTTAACAAAGGAAGGTGTCAGATTCTGGCTCTGAGATGAGACAACCCTGGATGTGTGTATAGACTAGGGGGTGAGGCTGAAGAGCAGTACTGCAGGAAGGGATGCCAGGGTCCTGCTCTGTGGAAAGCTGAACATGAGTCGGCAGTGCCCTGGCAGCCAGGAGGGCCAGCCATGTCCTGGGGACATCAGGCACAGCATGGCCAGTTGGGCAAGGGAGGGGATTGTCCTGCTCTGCTCTGAGCTGGGGCAGCCTCACCTCGAGTGCTGGGGGCAGTTCTGGGTGCCACAATAAAAGAGGGTAATGAGGATGTCTCCTGTGCACAGGAGGGTGATGAGGAGGATGAGGGGTCTGGAGGAGAAGGTATGTGGTCAGTTCAGCCTGACTGAAGGGTGGTGTTCAGCATCCTCATGAGGGGAAAAGGAAAGGCAGATACTGATCTCTGTGGTGACCAATGACAGGACCTGAGGGAATGGCCTGAAGTCATGCCAGGGGAGGTTTAGGCTGGATATCATGAAAGTGTTCCTCACCCTGAGTGTGGCTGGGCACTGTAAGAGGCTCCCCAAGATAGTGGTCAGAACACCAAGCCTAACACTGTTCAAGAAGCATTTGGACAATGCTCTCAGGTACATGATGTGACTCTTGGGATAGTCAGGAGTTGAACTTTGATGATCCTGATTGACTCTTTCCAATTCAGTGTATCCCGTGATTTTACAATTTGACTTCTTTTGTGCCATTAGACAGATACATAGCAACCAGATGACAGCATATGCAAGGGACTAATAAAATTTAGTGCATTTAGCAAAGAAAATACAAGTACTTCTCACAAGATTCTGTTCAGCCTGATGGGAGCTAGGGGAAATCTCCAGCCTGAGCCCTGACAGCCAGTTCTGAGCTCAGACTGGGCTGCTCAGGACTTCACCCATTCAGGCCATGAAAGCCCCAAGGATGTAATCAGCCCAACCATGCTGGACCATGTCCATGCTGCCGAGCTGTCCTTGTAGGTTCAGCCTCCTGAGCTCTCTCTGTTTCAGCTTTGCTGCTGCCTCACCCTCATACCATGCACTGTTGTGAACAACCCAGCTGCATCTCCTCTATTCCTTCCAGGGATGCTGTTTGGTGCCCCCAAAGCTGCTGCTCCCCCTGGCTGAACCAGCCTTGGTTCCACAGCTTCTCAGTGATCCCCTGCTGAACTCAGTTATCTTTGTCAATTTCTTTCCTGTGCATGCTGCTCCTAAAAATGTATGCACAACCATGGAGCAGAGGGGAACAATCACCTCCCTTGATCTACTCCTTGTTCTTCCAGCACGGTGTGCCACTAAATGCCTTCTTTGCTGCCCATGTCAAAATAAATTAGTGACAGAGTTTGTAAATAAAATACAGAATTTTAACAAAATGACAGAGGTGGAAACTGCATCTATTAAACATTTCTCCCTTCCCATCTCCAGCAATACCACTTCCATTTTATAAAATGGAGAGTTATTTTAAGTAGTGGAATGCTGTAGAAGACTGAAGAATAATACTCCTAGAAAAATCCATTTTTTTCAATGGTGAGTTTGAAAAGGATTTTGTTAGGTATGTCAGAGCCTTATTACAAGACTTTGCACATCCGGGTGTGCTCCTTCTAATATGTGTTCTTCAATCAAGCCCCCACAGCTAGTTGATTTATTGATGGTTCAGCTGATTCCCTGTAAGTTAAATTAAATTTTTTGAATACTTGTTCTTATGAGACAAGAAGTAATTATTTTAGATGAGAGATTTATATAAACTGGCTTCACAGAGGAAGTGTTTCAATGGTGAAAATTTTTGGAGTTTATAGGTAGGGCAGATAGTCATAATAGTTTGAAGGCTTTAAAGTGCTACATATTTTTCTTTTCAATGTTTCTTTATAAATGTTATTCAGCCTTCTCTCCCTTAAATTCTGTCTTCCCCCAGTAGAGTAAAATTACAAAACAAAACAGTTGTTTGGATACAGACTATTTTTTATTCTTATAAATAGATTATTTACTCAAAGTGTGTGCCTTAGAATAATCGGAATGTGGGGCTGAAGGGGGACCTCAGGAAGTCATCTACCCTATCCCACTACTCTGAGGCACATGTATTTAGATCCTTGATTGTGTATTACCTATTCTCTGATATCTCTGTGTTTTCATATTCTGCATTCATAGCCTACATTGTATCTTAACAGGCCACAATGAAGCTTTTTCCCTGTTACATAACTGTCTTTCATGAATGATACCAATTACTAGTTGTCTTAACAAGAAAAGGAATTAATCATGTTTTCTTCATCTCAGCCTATTATGGATTTGAAGGCTGTTCTCATGCCCTGTAAAATTTTTTGTCTTCTAAACCAGGCAAAATATTTCTTACGCTTTTCCCCTAGACTATTTTCTTAGTTCTCTGATTATATTCCACATAATTCTTTGCAACTCATGTACTTCTTCCAGTTAAAGCCTTGCAAGCATCATTATCTCCTCTATATTACTATTGTTATCTCCTCTATGTTACCAGACCACAGAAAGAAATTTGCTATTTTTAATATCAGGTTGCATTTGGGATTCTTACTCAGTTTGAAGTCCACTGTAGCCTTAGGTCAGTCTTCCTCTAATACTCACCAATCCTCACTTCATTTTGTGTGGGTATATTTTGCTTTTTACTTCTGATATCTAGCTCTGCATTTCTCTCTACTGTATTCTATTACTCATATAACTTTCACCTTATATTGGGTTTGTTTACTTACTTATCTTACTCCAGCACTGCTCCGTAGAGTACCTGCAAACCCTTTATCTCAAAACTGTATTCATTTGCTTGTACTTTCAGATCAAACTTGTTTACTGAAATACTGGGCACTACTTTCCCAAGTAAGCATTTGTGAGCTGATGCCTCTTCCTTTTTTTTAGTGATAGCTGCAGTCGGCAGTTGGGGGTGGGGTTTCTACCTGCTGCACACATGCTTCATGGCAATTTAATTTAGACCATGGTTTGCCTGTTTCATTTAGCACAGCCCTGTGGGACTCTGCTGAAGACTTGCATAGCCAAAATGCTACTTCAATATCAAAATAATATGGTAATGGTTACTGCTCTAGTTTGCATGTAAATGAATTTTCTTCCTTTGTTTCAAACAGTCCTACCCAAAACTTCTGTTCTTTTGTAAATACTAATAATAGTGAATTTGGCAAAAATAAAACACTTCTGTACATCCTTGAGATGCTGTCAGAGGTCTCATGTAGTCACACCACTACACTGTGCTCTCCATACTTTTGATGTTTCAGGATATGGAGAGAAGGGTAGGGTAATGTTGACTTCTCTGGTTTAGGTCTAATCTTGCTTCCTCTTATTTTTCTCTGTTGGAGTCGATCTAAAATAATTAAAAATCCAGCTGACAGGACAAGAATGGCTCCTGCCATGTAGAAGCCTGCTCTGTAATCTCCAGCCATGTCCACAATCAGACCTGTAGAGAAACAAATGACAGGAATATGACTGATGGAGAACAGGCTAATGTAAATTAGCTCAGCAGTGTGAATATATCCTCTTACAAAAGCAATGTGCTGGCCTACATACTTGTCTACACCATAAGTACATGGAACATCACTCCAAGTATAACTTTTTTCAGTTTGAGACATAATTCATGTTTCATTGTTTTTCTTGAAGCACTTTCCAACCTAAAGTGTGTCAGACAGTGCAGGCACTGGCAAAAAAACAAGACAGACCGTGCACCTATGTATGTGAGCAGCTCCACTTCTGTGGTGTAGCTGTCACCAGTTGCTGTAATTTGGACCATAACTACAGCATGAGTGAGTTTAAAGAAGGAAAGGAGATTCATCTGCTGGAAACAAAACTGGAGAATTTGTCTGATGTGTTACAGGTTTCCAGTTCATCATTTTACAAAGAGTCACAGATGTTAACAAAAAGACCTTGGTTTTCAGGGAGATTGAGTCCAACCAAAATATGTGATGCCATTGTGTATTATACTGAAAAATTTCTACAGTACAGTAGTACAGTAATAGCCTGCAGCAGTGTGTCAGCTGCCCTGTGGGTATGATGGCACATTCTTCTGTGGGCTGATGAAGATTGCTTGCTTGTGGGAAGTTTGTCTATGTTTAGGGTACTTCCTAGCCCACATTCTAAACTAAGATCAGCCCTATACAGGCACAGGAACCATGAACTCAGATCTTTCAGATTTTACACTCAAAGGAGGAGAGGAGAGCTTGAGAGGCACTTAGGGTTCCCTGCTCTTCCATATCTTCTTTGTAGTTTACTAAATACACAAAAAGGGACCACAGTGATTCCCAGATAATCAGTACTAGTGACCAGCAACTAAAAACTGTATTTTATTCAGATCTTTCCAAAACATATTTGATACTGTTCTGCTTCAAGTCTTCTACAAAGTTTCCTGGTATTTTCAGAAATGAATTAAAATGTTCCATTATTCAGTCTGACTCATTTGCAATCCATTAGCAATGTCATTACCACAAAAGTCACTTGTAGTGTGTGAACAACAGTCTTTGGATGAGGATTTAGATCTACTTTGTACAAGTCATGCTGGTCAATTTTTTTGCTGTATCACTTTTTAAAGTCTCTACAGCTTGCAGTTCATTTGTCTTGCATTTTTCCAAGATGACTATATTTTGTTACCAGCCCATAAATCCATGTGCTGTCTTATTGTCTGCTCTCTCTTCCCACTGTTCTTATGTGCTGCCTTCCCTGTTTATTATAATACTTGGCTCAAATGCTGTCTAAAACCAGCAGGCATTTCTCTGAATATTTCCTTGAGGTTTGCATAGCCTAATGTTTCAGGCTGTTCAATTTGAACTTCTGTAGAAACCCTCCCAACACTACCAACATTTGTGCAACATCACTAGTCTCAAATTTCAGTTTCTTCTCTCTAAGTGTGTGTCTGCTGCTTGCCCCAAAGGCACACTTTCTTAGCTAGATAGCTGGAGGCCATCAAGTGGCATTATGTGGGATTCAGGAAGCAGGACCACCATGTGAACACTGCCTTTCATCCCTCCTTTCTTGTTGTAAAGCTTTCTCTAAAATCACGCAGAAGAGAAGGAGCAAGGTATTTTGGAGAGGATTTAAACTGGCTATTTGTTTTTGTGTACTTCTTGGCTCAGATACCCCCGGGCTAAAAAGGGGAAATTTGAGTGCAGATCCAGATCTTTTCAATTTGGATTGCCATTCCCTTTTCTTCTTTTAAACTGTATTTGGCAGTGAGTTGTCTTAACTTACCCGCAAGAGGAGGCCCCACAAAGCCTCCAGTGCTTCGAATAAGCATGAAAAGTCCTAGGGCACTGTCAAATTCTGGCATGCCTACAACATCTGCTAGCACTGTAATGTGAATGGCGACTGTTGTACCAAAGAAGAATCCATAGAAGCCAGTGAATATTGCCAAGGAAAGGTAATTGTTAGCCAGTGGCAAGAGCATCAGGGAAGTACTGATCAATGTAATCGCCATTGCCAGCAAATGAATGGTTTTGGTAACATGGAGGTTGGCATACCAGCCACACAGCAATCTGCCTCCAAAGTCCACCATTGCCAAAATGGATAGGAGGGATGCAGTCCATGATTCATCTATTCCCAGGCTGTAACTAAGTGGAACTAAAAATAATGGAGGAACAAAAAAACTCATAGCAGCTAATATACCAAAAATGGCATAAAGTACAAATTCTGGTTGCCTCACAAGCATCCAGTTGAAGGTTTTGTGCATGATGAGAGGCTTATCTTCTTTGTCTCTTCTGTATGCACCACTGCCAGGTGGTGATTCAGTTTCACAATGGCTGGCCTCAGGAAAGCAGCTGCCTGCCAGGGGTCGCATCAGTACTCCACAGACACAAATATTGAGTTGGATGCCACCTATGATCAAGAGGGCACCTTTCCATCCATATTGACTAATCAACCACTGGAAAAATGGCCCAAACATGAATGCAAAGGCACATTCTCCAGCACTGGCAATAGCATTGGCCAAAGCTCTTTTCTTGGAGAAATAGTGGCTAACAATGCTAATGGCTGGTGTCCACGAAAAAGAAATGCCAAGACCTGAAAAACACCAATAGAAATAGCACTGGTTATATACTACTGAGGTATTTTGTGAAGGTGGAAATTAAAGCAGTCAGTGTTTTTACATTTGCAAAGTTAAAAAGCATTAAAAGGAAAACATTTTTGCCTAGAAGAAGCACGAGCTTAGCTAGAATAGGTGTAAGGGTATATTTGTGACATATTCTGTACATTGTATATATTCAAGTGAAAAAGCAAAACATGAAGTATATACATTATTAAATTCTCACTTAAAAAAAAAAAAAAAAAAGTTGGTTTCACAGCTTTGCCAGTGCATGAGAAATCACATGGTCATGAGGTTGAAGCTAGGCAGATCTCAGTGTCCATGCTGTCTGTGTTAAGATTGGAACTAGGTCAGACCAGCAGGTTAAGCCTGAGCTGTGTTCAGGTGGGACATGAAGTAAGCTGGTGTATTGCCTCTATTTGCTCTTAATTTTCTTGCTCAACTGCTTTGAGCAAACTTAAAACCTGCTCTAACTTAGAGTTATTTTGGTGGCTCCCCAGACTCTTTGGCAGCCCAGGACTGCCAAAGGGTTCAAATTCCAGACATTTTCTCAGGCATGCAGTGCAGAACTCGGAATGGTTTATTTTATTCCCTGCTAGCTTTGCTTCCTGTTCCAGGAAAATCTGCTAGCTGTTAGAGCAAATTTTTTGGCCTGGTTTTGCCTGGAGTAAAGGAAAGGATTGGAATAAAATAAAAGCCTGTGACTCTGTTCAAAACATAAGATAAGCTGATAGAAAGTACAGAATTTGGGATCTCCTTGTCTTTTTACTTCAGTACCCTTTATGAAGTTTTTTTAAACCTTCACAAAGCTTTTATCTCTGAATGCAAAATAAAGCTTAATTTTCTGCTTGCATATAATTTGCAAGTGTAAATCACTGGCCTCTAAATATTTGTCTTCTTTGTTGTTGCAGATTTCCTGTACAAATGCTTATTTCCAGAGGGGGACGGGAGGGAAATCACTTTTAAAGAGCATTGCTTGTTCTGGCTGCTCATAAAGTCAAAATAGATACCAGATTTTAGAACTCCTACCACTAGCACCCTCAAATAAGTTGCTGGTGGAAGAAAACCATAAAGGCATAAATTCATACCCTGTAGGAAGCCAGTTGTTGCATACATCCAGACCATGTTGAGTCCAAAAAATCCCAATGCCATTCCTGAAAAAGCCAGAAGTCCTCCAGTGATCACAACTGTCCGATGTGTATATTGTACACACAGTGAACTTGCAACAGGGGCTAGATCAGCAGAAGAATCAGAGAAAGAAAAATACATTAGGGACATTAATCTGATCAACAAGGCCAAATAAATAAAATATTTTGACGAGGACAACCCTTATAATGCTTTACACAAACAGCCTTAATTCTGCTGGATAGGGTAGGAGGTCAATCAAAATTTCAAAATTGTATCCTTGCTGATAGAGAAATTACTATTCTTGAGGCACAGATTTGAAAGTATATTCAACATATGTGGACTCTTCTTAAAAGGAAAGAGCATTTTAGTGCCTTCCTTCTACTGATTTTTATGTAAGGATACAACTACCAACATGGAAGAACCTCATGGATTGTTTTAGTAGAAAGTAAAACTTCAGCCACAGAATCTATAGGTTCATCTATAAAAATCATACTATTGAGAATGTGTTATCGGTATGACTGGCATGAAAACTTTCTGAAGAAAAATATCTTTTGTTTTCTAGAATTTTGCAAAAATCAACCCTTAATAGAATTTTAAAATTTTATAAAGTATTAAAAAATTAGGGTTTATTTTGTAGTAATACTTTCTATAGCAAATTGGCCATTCATTTCTTAAATCTTTATTTAGTGGTACAGTTTCTCACAAAAGACTGCAGGGGCTCTTCAACACAAGGGCCAAGGTGCAGGTGGTACAGATCTGATGGCAAGCAACTGCTTTGGTCTCTAGTCACTGTCTGGAAACACCTGAAATGTTAGGGATATTTTTGCTTACTTAAGGCTAGTTTTACTGCCTGGCTGGTTTTTCCATCAGCATGGCAAGAGTCGAGGTCAAGGCCGTAGGATTTCTTTAAGTGGCCATGGCCACTAGGGGGTTCCCAATTACCACCTGGATGAACCAGCTCCCTGCACGCTGTTAAATATCCTGGGAACTGGAGTTCATGCATGAAACGGAATTCAGTTAACGGGGACCACGCCTCTAAACTGAAATAAGTAGGAAGACAATTATTAAGAGAGAATAGCCAGCAAGGAAGGTTTCATAGTAGTTTGTAGGGGTAGGTTGTTGTACATTAACTTGTGCTAATATCAGAATTAAGATTATTTGGTAGCTAGGATAAGTGAAATAAACCTGACAGAGTACTAGTTGTTGCAAAATCTGCAGCATGGACATTGTCTGACAGCAGAAAAACTGGCAGGAGTTATACAACATTCAAATGTCTCATCAGCTTTTACAGTAAAAATCTGATAATTTTATAAGTATGTAAAAATGATACTGAAATTCAGTCATCTTAAGATGTAGTTGATGAGACATGATAATGTACATACAGTTGGTGAATCATAAAATATGATGAAAACAAGAAGAGAAAAGTAGACACAGGATAACATCCATTAAAGCTCTTGAAGACAAGAAAAAGATCTGCAGCTGAAGCAGAAGTCTTACCAATCTCAATTCTTAAATAGCAAATAAGAAGAATAAACAGGCAGAAATTACACATAAAGTAGCAAGAGAAAAGAAAGAAGCTAGCCACAGAACTGGAAACGGGTAAAAGACCCCAGAGTCTGAAAGGATAAGGGCAACACACAGAAAATGCACAAGCGATGGAAAGGGATGACAACAAGAGCAAAAAGAGAAAGGTGTTGGGAGGTGTACATCAGTACCGAGAGAAGGCTGGTGAAGGTGATGGGGAGAATCCTTGCTGTGGTAAACTGAACAGCCTGTTGCAAGTGCAGACCTTGGGAGTGGAAGTACATGCTCTCCTTCGACACAGGAAACAGACCTGCTGTTGAAAGGATCCAAATAGGAAAAAAATAATAATTCAGTGATCCTCCTTCATACTGAGCCAAGTGACACTTAAGGTTTCCCAGAGACAGACATTAAGAAAGACTAAGCCAGGCCGGGAAACATGCTCAAAGAACTGGAGGCTCAGGTGATCTTCATTATGAAGTCTTGTGGTCCCTATAAATGAAGCAAAGGCAGAAGAAGATGAGGAAAGTTATGTATTGACCTGAGACATTTATAAACTGCTATACAGAGGGCGTTTGGAATATTTGACCACCGAGCTTTATTCACTGGAAATGGATTATTTTCAATGGATTTCAAAGGATGAGGAACAATCTCTGCTGAAAATTACACTTTCCTTCTTTGGCGTAGGCTGGCCTCACACCTGGCTAGGCAAATATATTTTTTCTGGTTTACACTTAATATTATTGTGTCGTGTGCTCTATTCCTTTGTACATTCCTATACAATGTAAATATATGCTATAACAAAACAAAACCTACTAAAACAGGACTGTTAAGTTTTTCCCTTCTATGCTGGCTTTTTCTTGTCATGAAGTTCAAATGCCTGAATGAGACAACAGGATCACAGTATGTCAGTGATACATCTATTTTGTTAACCAAATTGATATTACCATTTATTTATTTCTGTGGTCTGTGAAGCAGGTTTTTCTTTTTTTTTTTTTTTTTTTTTTAATTATATTTTTCACTGCAAAGCAGGCATCAAAGATTGCAATTTATGGAACTGATAAAATCTTTTCAGCTCATGACTTATTTTATCTTTTTACTTTGACTTTGGGTTACTCTTTTTTTTCCTTCTGAATACATTTTTCAAAGAAAGATCAATTGTTCTTGATGTTTGGAAGTACCTGCAGTTCCATGCAATAATGCTGATGGGTGTGGACTGAGTAGGATGCATGTAATTATACAGTGTCTATGCAAAGAAGTGTCTTCAGAAACAAAATTATGATAGCATTTATTATGTAAGGATATTTACCTATGTCAACCATATATCTCTATGAGAATATGCAGAGCAGACTTCACAAATTTTGTGCAGTTCAAGCCTGCATGTTTGGAATCCTCACATCATGTGAAGAATCATGCAGTTTACAGGGCACTAAGGACTCTCTAAACAACCAAGCTGAGTCAAATGCAGTATCAGTTTCAAATTTTTCCCTCCTTCATTTGGTGAGATGTAGTATTTGACCTCACTGCCTTTGACTGGGATAGTTCACTCTATCTTCCCCTACTCTCTGCTTGCATGGTCATGTCTTTATTGAGTTCCCTCTGTGTGAATAGATTTTTGTTTTTCCTTTTTAACTCAGTGAGTCTTCTGGTAGATCAATAACTTAGAATCATAGTAAGAGGGGTGAAGAAGACATAGAATTGGTAATACATGCAAGGAAAGGGGATCTTGGTAAAGATAAAATAAGTGGGAAAAAGCAGGACTGAGAATCATTTTGGTAGCAGATGGCTTACCTGATAGATGGGGTCACAATCCTTGTATTTTGAAATACTTTGAAAAGTGACAGTCACTCTGAGATCAGTAAACTTGCACAAACTGTTCTAAGAGCTTGATTCAACAGGCTCTGTGGCTATCAGAATTATCTCTAATGAGTTTAACTCAAAATCTGTAGCAAAACTGAATCATGACTTTAGGTACATGATGTTTTTTCAAGTAATCAGATTCCTGTTTCTACAGATTTTCTTATTAATCCATTTCATCTATGAAGCAGTAAATGCCAATTTTCTGAAATTTTTCTGTATTTCTGTAGAGACAGAAGAAGGAAGTCTAGACCTTACATTTTTAAAGTTTTTTTTAAGGAAGAGTTCCAAACTTTCTTGGGTAGTTAATATTAAAATAAAATGGTAGAGGAGTACCTACCTCCTAGATGAAAGACGGCAATAGTTAGTGATGTGATCCAGGAAGTGGTGCTTGCAAGTTCATCAAAATGCTGCTGGATTTCAACAAAGAACAGACCAAAAGTCTTGAGGACAGCAACAGTGAGGCCCATCACCATGAAGGCTGACAGTACCACAACCCATCCGTAGCCACCATCTGGTGGATTGCTGTCTTTAGTCTGCATCTTTTCTAATTCTTAAGTGTTCTCTGTTTTTTGGGTTGTTTTCCTTTTTTTTTCTTTTTTTTTTTCTGGAGTGGTAGTGATGGTGATGAGGCTTTTTAACAGATCTGCAAATTGGTAGAAGGCCCATTGTTAAATAAATTAATTAAAATATTCTAGGAATGGCTTACACAAGTTAAAATACACAAGCTCAAATACAACATTCATTACAGTGGTGTGACTGAAAATATTACCTAGGTAACAGAGCCCTCAAGAGACAGAAGACTGAATAAAGAAATTATAAAAAAATTCAGGTAGAGAGTTAAGAAAACAAAAGAAGCATGCAGATGTGAACAAAGTAGAGAAGACAATGGGAAAATATTTAGACATTAAGATTTTCAAAGAAGAATTTTAGGGTCCTCAACATTTTAGCATTTATAAATATTAATTGTTTCTGCAATACCAAGCAAAATGGTGCACATCTATCCTTGCAAAGATATATTCATAGGCAAGAACATCTTACTAAGAACAAAACTGAAAAAGTGTATTTCCCCTTAAAAGTTTTGTGATAAACACGCAGCAATCGTGCGGTGCATGGAGGACATAGGATCTGGCTGGAGGGAGAGAAACATTCATGCATTCTTCTGGCTTCTTCATGGGCACTAAATTCTGAGGAGGGATATTGTGCAAGATACAGAAGACCAAAAAAGACCTATCTCAGGAGGAGAAGGGAAACTTGAGACAGCTGAAGATGTACTCTATTTAAAATTATCTACTCTGTGTGCACCTGAGTAAAATGAGCTGCATGAGGGAATCCATACCACTTGAAATTATCCAGTACAAAGAAGCAGCCACTAGCCCTATGATTTTCTCCCTTGAGGTGCATGAGCTCAGGAGGATCAGCAGGATGGGGAAAAGAAGCCATGGGAGCCTTATAGAGGTCAGAAACAAAATCACTGCTCTGTGTCTGGACTGACATGGCAGTGGACACATTTGCACATCTTAAAAAGTCTTAGAACAGCCACAGGAGAGGGAGAGGCTGCCTTATGTTGAGGTCTGTGTGAAGGAATCAGGTTTTCATTCCCACAGTTTCTGGGAAGCATTAATACTCATATTAGTGCTCAGTTTACTATAAGAAAATACAGAAATTATATCAAGGTGCAGCTGTAGCATTCTGACAATGCTGAGTTCAAGTAGCATGGTCATAATTTTGTTTGAGGCTTGGAAGAATATAAAAAGGATGCAGCACTCAAGCTAAATAAGCCTGCCTAGGGAGAGTGGTACTGATAGTTCTGCATTCTGCATAGACATGCCTGGGCAAGGGATTATAACTTGTGCCACAAGACAGATAGAAGAAATCCTGCTGCTTACCAGGCAACACCCAGACTAAAATAGGCATGATAAAATCTGCATGACATCACCCAGCACCCTTCACTTTCATTAGGCAAACTCTCTCCCAGGAGAAGAATAAATTGGGCCTTACTGCTCACAAAACTTAAATAAACAGCATGTTTCCTTATGACAAATACATCTTTTATGTCACAGCTCAGAATTCATCCTTCACTTCCTTTTAATGATCACATTGTTACATGTAATTCCAAAATGAAAGTACTATTTCAGTTGAATTATTAATTAATGAGGTAGTTATTTTCCAGCAGCCCTATGGATTTGAAAGCAGTGCAGCTACATACTATAGGGAATTGTTGAAATGCCTGAACAGAGTAGAATAAAGCATAGATATTACAGTATGGGAACATGTTTCTGACACCATGCTTTTGCTTTCTTCCTCCTTCACTTACAAGAAAAAGTTTATTATAAGATCATGTAATTGCAAATACCCTAAGCTGAAAAAACCTACATAGGATCTCCTTTTGCTTTTAGCTATTTAGTAATGGTAAACAGTAAGGTATTAATATCTTCACTAATCCATTTTGTCTCCGGAACTAACCTTCTAAATAAAAAACAGGAAAGGCCTGTAGGGAAACTGCTCCTTCTGTTGTGCCTGGTCATACACAAGGTCTCTCAAAAATGTAAAAATGTAAAGCTGTGCCTGGAATCATAAGCATTCTGTCTAGCATCCCACTGACTCCTACCTCCAGAATTTCTCATGGCAGCTGGAACACATGTCCTGTGAGACACGGACTTAAATCAGGAAAGGCTGTGCTTGGTGTGTGCATCAGCCAGAGCTGAAAGCTCTGCTAGCAGTGTTATTATGCTCATGGTAAATTTTGCCAGCAAGAACTCACAGGCAAGAGTGCAACCTTTATCTTTACACCTGGATAGCTACAAAGGTGTTTTCTGAGACACCAAGGTTGTTTCTCTATTCATGCTCTACAAGTTCTCCAAGCTATTTCTGCTTTGATTCGTGCCAGTGATTCAAAAAGCTAATCAGACAATAATAAAAATAAATTATAAAATGCTTATCTCATTGCTTGCATTTTAGGGTGCCACATAAACTTGTGAAGACAGATACTTGTTCTACTTGGTTATCTTGTGCTCCATGTTCTAATTAACTTTTTACAAAAGAGCAAATGAGTTGAATATATTTGCTGCACATTGCAAAAAACAACATGCTGGTGGAATCAAGAAAAATTATTGTTAGTATGAATCTTAAACTTCTTGGTTTTATGGAACTCATACTTGACACTCCCCAAATAAGTGTATTCACCCTCTCTGAATGGAGGTTGAGTGGGCTCCTTGTGAGATGGTGATAGTTTACAGATATAGGTTCCCCAAGAAGACAAAAAATGGCAAGTATTAAGTTTTTCCACACTTAGATAAAGAAATGTGACTTGGTAATGGGTTTTTGGTTTGGGTTTCCAGTACAAATATTATACTATTACCCTGGATTCAGACTTTAAAAAAAAAAAAAAAGAGAAAAGGAAGAAAAAACAGGAAATGTTTATTATAATGGTTTTATCCATCTTGGGAAACAGAAGAGAAACATGCTTTTGTGATTTGCCTAATTTTTCAGCATGGTTTTAAGAAGCATTATATGTATTAACAGAATTTTAGGTATCACAAAACCACTTAATATAGACACAAAAACTTAATATACATAGACACAAAAATACTTTCACCAAAAGCTGATACCTTGAAACAGGAACTATGTTAAACTAAATACAAAATACATCTTTAAGAAATTAACAACAGATTAAATAATATAGTCTTGTTTTATTGGTTGTATTAGAAGAAAGACAGAAAGAAACAAAGATATCAATTGTAATTTATACTGAAACTCCCTCCACACATGTGACTTGGTACACAGGCAAGGAACAGGCTATGTTCATCATATTCAGATGCCTTATGATTTTCATCTAACACTCAAACTGGCTGAATGCTATGAGCAACCAGTTAAAAGTAACAAAAATCAAGTCATCAAGAAATTACCTTATTCAGATAGCCAAGGCTTGTATAGGATATGAAGTTCTTTCTTCACCTTCCAGTTGCATGTAAGTTCTTGAGTTGTGCTGCAAACCACCAGGTCATCTTTCTCATCTGAACTACCATCTGGCTAGTTGAACAAACAAATTTGTCTCCTTCAGGATGTGGAAGAATTGGATTTTATAAGAATCCCCTCCTCCCCTCCTCAAAAGTTATTTGACTCCACCTATATTCAGAAAAAACAAAGTTCTGTCCTGACTAGAGATCAGAGAAACAAAATCAGGAATGGATGGAGGAAACTTACAAGAGGAATGCAGATTTTTGCTTTATTTATCTGCACTATACTTACAGTAGCCTTGGACTGCTGTCTATATTTTCTACTGAACTCCACTATTGGACCAACCAGAAAGTACAGATGTATCAGCTGACTTCAAACTCCCCTGTGTTCTGGGGCATTTACTGCAAATGTTTATTCAAATTTGAAATTCATTTGTAGCTTCCCTGTGCTTGTGCTGTTGGACAGATGTTGGCTACAGTGAGCATCACATAGCCTGCAGCAACTACAGAAGTTACTGGAAGCTTGAATGTGCTCTCCTGAGCATGATATATGCATATTTGAACCTTTTACCACACCAGAGCAATCCTTTACTTGTATGATTTAAGAGCCCACAGTGAAATACTTCTGGTCCTTGTAAAACTTTTCTCTCCCAGTTCTCACTGCTAGTTTATTGGAACTTATTCCCTTTCCTACCAATTTACTTTGCGCTAAGGTTGTGGTGGCTATACTGCTATTGTAATTGTTGTGGGGGGCAGGGTGGGCTGTTGCAGTAGCTTGTTGCATTTTGTAGTATTTTTATTTACATGTTTGTATACTTACTTCATGACTTGATCAGTAATCTGTGTAGTTTGTGTGTGCTAAGGGTAGTATAAACATGCAGTTGACCTGCATAACTAAGAAACAGATACATTTCATATTTTTGGCATATTTGAATGGGAAGCCAGCAAGTTTGTGACATAACATTCTAATTTTCTTTTGCTGGGAAAATTCTCTAGAGCTATGTTTTAGGTCTGGAGAAGACAAAGGAAAATTATGGGGTAGTTTTTGAAGTGGAATTAGTGTGCAGTTCATGATAGAAAAGTTGCTGCTACTCCTACTTCACTTTCTTGCTACCACATAGGTTTTCATGCAGTGAACTAGACTGGTGAACGACCCTGCCAGTCACTACACTGGGGCAGTTTCCTAGTTTGGAGAAATTAATTGTGTGCTTTTACAATGCAGAAGGCAGAAAAAAAAGTAGCCAGGAATGAAACTTGACAGATGAGCCTGCTTAATCCAGAGGAGAAAATCACATGATGGCTGTACACAATCAGTGTATTCACATGCCCTGTGGGCCCACCACATTCTGACCCATGATGTTGCTGGGTGCAGGGGTGTGACTGATTGGCCTGTATTTCCACTGGTGTTCTTTATTCCTTTGCTAAAAACAGTAATTATGCTTCCCCTTCGCCAGTTATTGACAGCTCCACCAGCTTCACTGCCACTTCTCAAATGTGACACTGTGGCTCAGCCACTTCCTCTGCCCATTGCCTCAGAGCCCACAGCTCACCCAGTAAGCCTGACTTCCTCATTGTTGGGATGCTTGGAATAGGTAGACATTGAATATTATATTACAAGTATGGGAACTGAAGTCTA